AGAGAGAGAGAGAGGGAGAGAGAGAGAGAGAGAATGGATTAGACTGAGCGAAAGAGAGGGAGAGGTAGACATGCAAAAAACACAAAATGAATAATATACAGGTTCTGGAATAGATCTAGATCTAGTATCTGGTTTCTAAAGTTTACTCGTAGTGATGTATGTAAATCTGAAATCGCACCACATGCAACTGATACTGAACTTAATTTTTTTTTAAAAAGCTTAGATAGAACGTGTCTCCGACCACTCCATCACTAACCTGGAGTTCTGCCACTTTCTTGAGCTGGTTAAGAACATCCTGGGTGTAAATTGGCCCAGTTCTCGGACGAGACATGATTACTGTCGTAAAATTTCGTCCAGTTCTGGGTCAATAGGTCATCCAGTAAATCTGCCCTGGTCTTCAGTTTGACGTCACTGGAGAGTTTGCTGCTTGTCCCGAGTGGTCTAGACACCGGCCTGAATTACCACGAAGCAGACGTGGTCAAAAGCTATGGAAGCCTCAGTGCAGGATTGTTCTGAATTACGACGTTCCATATCTTTAAAGTGAATTTGTAATGGTGCATTAATTCCGTTTCTTGTTTGCTGAGAGTTTTCTCACTGGTACATGACGACGCAGTTTTAAAACCTTCTCTTATATTGATTTGGAAAAAGAAGAAAAACAACCAGCGAATATTGAAGAAAACGGCGCCTTTGCTTTCGTTGATTTACATTACAACAGCACTGTGCACAAGACTATGAAAGAAGTCGGTCTTTTAAAAAATTAATTACAAACCTTAAAAATGTTGGAAAACGTATATTTATAGACTTGTCCTAGCGTGCAGATGTGAAAGCCTTTCTCTCAGTTTTGTTGTAAAAAAAGAAAGAGCCAGCCAGAGCGAAAGCTGTCCAAAATTATTCCCTTGGTGGAACAGAGCTAATCTCAGCAAAGATTTGGTATCAGCTTGCACCGCTGTATCTGTCGTTTCAAGCTCTGTTGTTGATACCGTTGATACAATGGTCGTGACCGGTCTTTATCAGAGTAAGGTCAGCCACAAGCTCCTGTCAGAAATGTAAGAAACAAAGTGTTCAAATTTTGTAGAGAATGACAGGGGTGTCGATGGGATTGGGCTAACGAACAGGCCTATGAAACATGATTAGCGCAAGTAGGTTTGAGACGCCTTCTACAACTTGAACAATCATAATAAACAGGCAGGGAAAGGCTCAAAGGAATGGCGCTGATAAAAGATATCATTTGAGAGCACTTAAAAGAGAAAGAGAAAGGAGAAACATACCTGGGTATGGAATTATTTTTGTTTATAGACATGTTCGCTTATTAACGTTGCGTTTTATTAAAAAGAAGAAAAAGATAAAAGAAAAAGGAAAAAGAATAGCAAGGAGAGAGAGAGAGAGAGAGAGAGAGAGAGAGAGAGAGAGAGACTCTAAAGAAACACACATAATTGTATTTCCTCATCGTCTTCTGGAGTTCAATATTGTCCTACCAATAGAGGGCACAGAACCGTAGCTAGTATGGTGCCTCTCTTACGTTTCGCTGTACTGATGACAGCTAATTTTCTTTGAACCCGCAAAGTCCTCTGTCCACCTTTATTTCGTGACATTTTGTCAACCAAGAGTTTTGGAATCTTCGCAGTGTTGAAGCTCTTAGTAAATAATCATATAAAAAAATACTGAATGAATCCAAAAGAGAATAATAAGTAAAACAACTGCTCGACAGCAGCAAAAAATGTCAGCCCTTCTCGCTCGTGTTTTTATTCCACTGTCTTCTTTCTAACAGACTTGTTGACTCTGTACATTCCAACTTGCAGTTTAAGGTCATCAGCAGTCAAAAAGGATTTAATTTTACCATCTAAGAAACTTAAAACCATGGTTGAAAAGGCATTATTATAATGGCCCCAAAGTCTGGCCTTTTTTGCCAAGAAGTTTAAGAGAGATCAATTCGTTTCATTCATTCCAATGTCCATATTTAGACTAATGCGATTCACGTGTATATAATAATAACATTTATTCAGAACACAATGTACTGTTTTTATGCGAAAATTGTATTTGCGGTACACACAGAGCCTGCATTTAAGCAGGGTTGAGCGCAATATATATGTCATATATTATCAAAGATTCTTCCCTTTTATCTCTTTCGTTGATCACTATTCACAATAGCCTTTAGCTTCATTCCTGCAGGAGCAAATTTACCTTTTTTCTTTCTAGAAGTCGGTATCTCAGTAGTTCTGATGGGATATGTATCCCAACAAATATAACATGTCCCTGGGATTCACTCCTCCCCCAAATGATCTACAGTGAGTTGAAAGGGGTGTAACACTTCTCCGACAAACCTCAATCAATCACTTTGTTTTAACAATCATCTTATCATTGCAAGGCCTCGCTTTCTATGTATTGTCCCCCTCCTGGCTCCAGACACGAAATACGAGAAATTCTTGAATTTCCCCGGATAGTATCGGGGCAATGGTATTAAGTCCACTTCGAATACTGAGCTTCAGGCTTAATGAGACAAATACCAGGGATTATAGGCTTTGACCCTAGCGCACAGATATCATTGTATTTGTGCAATGACCTTTCGCGAAACAAAATGAAATAAAATGGAACTTTCATTTTCCTGCTATCTCCACTTACCTTAACAGTCGTCTACTCTTTCCAGCGTTTTTCATTCACCTGTCTTTAGGTCTTACATGTCGTTTATTTTCTTTCTTTTTAAATGATAATAAATCCACACACATGAACACACAATTACACAAACAGACACACATACACACATACACAAACACGCAGACACATAAACAGACACATAGACACATGCACACACACACAAGCACTCATAATATGGGTTGTATTAAACAAAAGAATCTAACAACTGAAGAAAGAATAATAATATACATAATATAATAACGTTATGAACCCTCAACTAAGCCCTTTCGAAAAAAAAGGGGTGGGGGTGGGGGCTCATAAGAAACGGGTGGGAAGGAAGGAAGAAAAGAGGGAGCGGGGGAGCGACTGGGTTTGATTGGGTAGAAAAATATCCCCAAGCCACCTAAAACAATAATAAACACAAAAAAAGAAGAAAGAACTCACATATACACACACACACGCACGCACGCGCACACACACACACACACACACACACACACACACACACACATACACACAGACATATTTCATACAAACACGCACAAGCAAACACACACACCAGCACATAATTACGCAAACACAAAAGCACACAATCACAACCCCCCTCCCCTTTTCCCTATCACCGTTCCCAATAATAATTAATTTTACTTAATTTTGAAGTGTGCAGTCTTTGTTTTGACTTGGTTTTACTTTGAAGTCTCCTGGCACGTAATCTGACTCAATGGGCCTAAGTATTAATGACTCAAGAAACCCACTTTGGACTTCTGACAAAACGGACCGTCTTTTAATTAAATCATATCCGGCCTGGCCTGCCTAAAAGGATCCATTCCCTTTAACCACTGACTCAACCCTGTGCCAGTAGTCTCATAGCACGACTACGTGCGTCTGTCGTGTCGCTAGGTTCTCGCTCTTCGCCCGTCTTTCTCCTCGAACAATAGATCACGCCAAACCCTTAGCATTCTTTGAACTGGATCTAATCTTTCCTTTCCAAACATAAGCAATTAATAACCTCCGTGCCCAGAAACTTGAAAGGCTTTTATTGTTTGTCTTGTCAAAGTTCCAGCCTTTCACCTGGTCAAGGGCGAGCTGGGTGTTGAGAGACCTGTGACTTTGGACTTACAGATGTTTGTCCAGTCTTGCCTGACCAAACCGTAGCGATATATATAGGCTTGTATTAAAAATATCGAATGTCAACGGGTAAAACAACAACCCCAGCACCTCAAACAGAAAATCAAAGACAATCAGGTTCTTTCTGCCTTTAATTCTCTCTCTGTCTCTCTCGTTCTCGTTCTCTCTCTCTCTCTCTCTCTCTCTCT